TACCTTTAAAGGCTGATTTTGAAAAAGAAGTTGAGTTTGGAATTGATTCTCACGAAAATTTTAAAATTTTGTGGCTGATTCTAAAAGTGAAACTGGAATGTGGATTAGAAAAACTTTTTTCATGATCTTGAAGGGTTCCAAAGTTATGAAACTGACCGTTTAGAACATAATCAATATAATAAAGTTGGCATTCACTTTGATGTTGATATAGCTTCCTTGAAATTGAAAAGGAACAAACTGAAATTGATGTAAGAGCTATAAGAGATTATTCAAAGGTTGTTCAAATCAAATTGCTAGAGGTTTTAACATCTAGAATTTTTATTTCTTTTCTACTTTTAGAAACCTTATGTTTGGAATTCTATATTTTTCTTTAGGCCTAATATGCCTTATGTGCAAAGGTTTCTAAAAGTTGAATCTAAAGATGATTCACTGATTTTAACAGAATCCCTACTCCAAAGTGCACTTCATTAGATTGCTTTTAGTTTGGTTCGGGTTCAAATTTAATTGAGTCATCAATTAGTTTGATCTTTAAAAAAAACGTAGGGATCAATAGGTTGTAACTCACATCCCCTATAACTTATACGGACTACGGAGTAATATATTCATATAAAGTCAAAGCTACTCATTCATCAACATAATCAACCTTTAAATACCATATTTTAAAAATAATCCGCATTTCATTATTCATCCATTGCATTCATCTAAAATACGAGTATAACAAGTTCAATTATTTAACTAAATAGTAAATAGAATATTTAAATATTTTGATATTAAATCTTACAAATTCAATATTAAAAATATATAAAGTAAATATATTAAATTTAATAGGCCCAACATTGAAATGCATTCAAAGAAATGAATGTTTAGCACACATGCACTCTCCATCTAATATACTATCGAGTATTTTTTAATTTAAATAACTAAATTATAGCCCATTATATTCTAAATCCCCTGGTTATCCAAAATCACAGAAAAGCGGCATTTTAATTTCAACTTGCAAGAAAAATGAAGTAGGATCTCATCATTTAAAAAAAGGAGTAATAATACGATTTCATTAAGCCACAAATGAAACTGGAACGTTGTTTATCCATTCATCCTTATAAAAAAGAAAGGAAAACAGCAAAATGCAAACACCTAATCTACGAATTAAAGACCAAATCCAACAAACCATGATATAAAAACACTTATATAGTACAGAGTAATTATTTAGATGGGACAAAATTTATTAGTAGTAATAATTAGTAGCAGACTTGAAAAAGGCCTGCTGGATTCTCTTCCTTCCGTCTCTACGTCATCCTATCCTTCGAGCCTCCACTTACTCTACATATCATTTGCCTATTTACAAACAAAAAGTTAAAATTAGAGAGAAGAATGGCTACATAAATACGGAGTAACAAAGATGTTCAAAAAATACAGGGGGTAGAGTTGGTGGAATGGGGGGGACTCACCATAGTGGCCAAAAGCGGAAGAGAGGGGGGGGGGTATCGCCGCTGCCGTTGCCATTGCCGCCGTTGTCGTTTCTATTGCTTTGGCGGCGGCACCATTAGCTTCTCGGCCTTCTCCACCTTTCCCATTGGGTTTGATCACTGCAGCGGGAAGAACATCTCCCCCAAACCTCCCCCAAACTTTGCCTCTATGATCTCCTCCATCCTCGCTGTTCTCACCATCATTTTTTTCATCCAAGCATGCATTTCACCCACCAACTCAGGGATTGAGGGATAAAATTCAAAATTAAATTTCACTCCTTGCCTTGGGCTCATGCTTCACCACGATTCCTATAGCTCCGGCGATGTTAGCTGCCATCTCTGCCGATCCGGGGACTAACCCCATCCCTCTCGATTCTACAAAGTCTCTCCTCCAATTCTCCAATTTATGTCTTGAAAATTCTCACATCCAAAATGAAAAAATGGTTCCGTTTTGGTGCAATTCGGGAGAATCCCAAAAATAAGGGGTGGGAGAAAGGAAACGGCAAAGCTGAAAAAACTTGGGAGGTGATGTCCAAGACGGGGTTAGTCGCCGGAGCGGCAGAGATGACGGCTAACATCGCCGGAGCTATAGGAACCGTGGTGAAGCATGTGCCCAAACGGACTGGGCAAGGAGTGAAATCTAAGTTTGAATTTTATCCTTCAACCCCTAAGTTGGTGGGTGAAATGCATGTTTGGATGAAAACAATGATGGTGAGAACAGCGAGGATAGAGGAGATATTAGAGGCAATGTTTGGGGAGATATTCCTCTAATAGCGGGAGGAACATCTCCCCAAACTTTGCTTCTAATATCTCCTCTATCCTCGCTGTTCTCACTATCATTGTTTTCATCCAAACATGCATTTCACCCACCAACTTAGGGGTTGAAGGATAAAATTCAAACTTAGATTTCATGCCTTGCCCAGTCCGTTTGGGCACATGCTTCACCACGGTTCCTATAGCTCCGGCGATGTTAGCCGTCATCTCTGCCGCTCCGGCGACTAACCCCGTCTTGGACATCACCTCCCAAGTTTTTTCAGCTTTGCCGTTTCCTTTCTCCCACCCCTTATTTTTGGGATTCTCCTGAATTGCACCAAAACGGAACCATTTTTTCATTTTGGATGTGAGAATTTTCAAGACATAAATTGGAGAATTGGAGGAGAGACTTTGTAGAATCGAGAGGGATGGGGTTAGTCGCCGGATCGGCAGAGATGGCGGCTAACATCGCCGGAGCTATAGGAATCGTGGTGAAGCATGAGCCCAAGGCAAGGAGTGAAATTTAATTTTGAATTTTATTCCTCAACCCCTGAGTTGGTGGGTGAAATGCATGCTTGGATGAAAAAAATGATGGTGAGAACAGCGAGGATGGAGGAGATCATAGAGGCAAAGTTTGGGGGAGATGTTCTTCCCGCTGCAGTGATCAAACCCAATGGGAAAGGTGGAGAAGGCCGAGAAGCTAATGGTGCCGCCGCCAAAGCCAATAGAAACGACAACGGCGGCGATACCCCCCCTCTTCCGCTTTTGGCCACTATGGTGAGTCCCCCCCATTCCACCAACTCTACCCTCTGTATTTTTTGAACATCTTTGTTACTCCGTATTTATGTAGCCATTCTTCTCTCTAATTTTAACTTTTTGTTGATAAATATGCACATGATATGTAGTGTGAGTCGAGGCTCGAAGGATAGGATGGAGTAACGGAAGGAAGAGAATCCACCAAGCCTTTTTTTAAGTCTGCTACTAATTACTACTACTAATAAATTTTGTCTCATCTAAATAATTACTATTTAAGTGTTTATGTTGTGGTTTGTTGGATTTGGTCTTTAATCAGTCGATCGGGTGTTTGCATTTTGATGTTTTCCTTTCTTCTTATAAGGATGGATGGATAAATAGCGTTCCAGTTTCATTTATGGTTTAATGAGATCCTATTATTACTGTTCTTTTTAATGATGAGATCCTACTTCATTTTTTCTTGCAACCTAGAAAATTAAAATGCCACTTTTCTGTGGGGATTTAGGATATACTACGTAATGGGTTATAATTTAGTTATTTACTATGAAGAAATACGGAGTACTCGATGGTATATTAGATGGAGAGTGCATGTGTGCTAAACATTCATTTCTTTGAATGCGTTTCAATGTTGGACATATTAAATTTAATATTTACTTTATATATTTTTAATATTGAATTTATAAGATTCAATCCCAAAATATTTAAATATTTTATTTAGTTAAATGATTGAACTTGTTATGCTCGTGTTTTAGAGGAATGCAATGGATGGATAATGAAATGCAAATTTTTTTTAGAATATGGTATTTAAAAGTTGATTATGTTAATGAATGAGTATCTTTGACTTTAGATGAATATATTATTCCGTAGTCTGTATAAGTTATAGAGGATATGAGTTAAAAAAACAAATTTAAATGGATGAGTTTTATTTTAATGTGATTGCTTAAAATGTTTCCATGGAAGCCTAGCCTATTGATCCCTACATATAGCATTACTTTACTGTTTTTATGGATGAAGGTTTTATTTTAATGTGATTGCTTAAAATGTTTCCATGGAAGCCTAGCCTAGATACAAGCCTTTCTCAATGTACAAATAAATGGATGAAGGTAAAAAATTAGAGGGAATGAAGAGAAGTATGCACCGTCCTATTGCTATGTGATAGGAATTAATCTAGATTATTTTTTTCTTCTAATTTCTGTGTAATTACCTTCAAACTAAAAGGTAGCACGTTTCTCTAAAATAGGACTAAATATGTTTTATTTTCTTTATGACACATATTTTCATATGGTCTGTCATATATGTCGTCATTCGCAACAAGCGTTGCATAAAGACTGATTATAAGAAAGACACTACGAATGTGGTAATTAGCAACAAATATTGGATAATGACTAATTATTTTAATGACTATTCAATCTGTTTTCAATAATGTTTAAAACTACTTGAATTGTGCAATTTTTCATTTTTCTTAAAGGCATTGCATTTCAGAACTATCCATTGCCAAATGTTAAAATAGATAGAACTGGTCTTATTTAGAAAAAATGATATGTTTAAGTCTTATTTGCGTAAATTACCCGAATCATCTAACGCTTCAAAGAGATGACACCATTGTATCATATATTTGTGTAAATTACCCCAGTCGTCTAAGATGTCAAAGAGATGACACCATTGTATCCCATCTTTCAAAGGAATAATGTTGGCTTCCGTCTAAAGGAATAATGTTGGATCATTTGGGTATATGGTCTTTTTTGAAATAATGTTAGAGACTAGCATTAGCATTTAAAAAAAAACTATCTACAGACAACGTTTTGCATTTGTATTTTTGAAATGATATGTAATGTTAAAAATTACATAGTACTATCATACTCTGTATTACATTTTTAAAAATACAAAAAATTAATACATTGAAGCTTATACTAAACGAAACCGAAATAAATCCTTCCTTTTTTTCTGTGTTGCTGATCCTTTTCTATATTGGTGCATTCAAACTGGATACAAGAAATTGAATTACAATAGGAAAAATAATGGTACAACATTTTAAACTAGATTTTATTGATTAATAAGAAATAAAACATCATTTTCATATTAATCCATCGCAAAAAAAAAAATCTTAATTATATATTTATTCATCTAAATGGGGGAATTACACTTGATAAAGCCAAATCATTAAAGCTTGATGTATCCGTTCTTGATCATCCACTCCAAACTCCAATGGTTATTCACATTCTTGAGGGTCCAATAGGCCCACCCAAAACTAGCATTACCAAAGACTTGTAATTGGGCCTGGGCGTATCTTTGGTAATCCTCTTTGGTTGGACTTTTAACGTTCCATTCTGCGACCCATTCTCCTACAAAGCTAAGAGGCCCATTATTTGATGGCGTGACCAGGCCCAAATCCACAGACCGGTTGTTGGACACATAATCTATAGTTTGTTGGGCTGTCATGTTGTCGAACATATCGCTTAAGAGTTGGTAATAATGGACATCGATGACGGTTCTCTTCAAGCCCATGATGGCCCCGAAGAGCTCCGTCGGGTTCATGGGCCCCAACCGGTTTGACATAATAACATGGGCCGTTGCAGAGTATTTCCGGACAACTTCGTAACCGGCTTTGTAATATTCAGTGAGGGTTTCAAGTCGGACCCCCGGAGCAAGAGGCTCGTTGATGAGTTCAACCGCATAAAGGCTTGGGTTTTCGGCATACCTTATTTGTTCAAAGAGAGAAATCTTACGAACGGCATATGAATTACTAAAAAATAAAAACGAAAAATATTTTCTTAGGACACCCAAAATGGAAAACAAGTAAAGTTTTTTTATAACGAGAGAGTGGAAAAAATGTGGTTGATATGTGCAACTGATCAATTTTTGAAAAAATTTCAAATTTGACGTGACAGATGACTACTGTCTATGAAATTGTATGCAATTGATATTATTGTAAGTGAAGTATGAGTGTTCACTGAAGATTATATCCTCTATACATAAAAAATGTGGTTGATATTTGTCACATATTATCATATTTGTTGTTATTCTAGTGTGTCTCAATTTGCTAACTAGAAACACTTGTAAACTATTTTAAGAAAATAGGATGAATAAATATATGAACAATGATGATGATATGATGAAGAAGTATATGGCACCTTGCAGTTAAGAAATCGATAACAGCTACAGTTTGACAAATATTTTCCTTTGTTTTTCCCCACTCTTGAGATCCATCCCTTGAAGAGCTATGTTCCCAACCATTTTGTGATCCTGGAGCTGCATGAAGATCGACTATAACTTTCACCCCATATTTCCTGTACAATGTCATATATATTTTTTTGTTATCAAGTTATCATACCATAAAAAATGCTCCATAATCTTCTACCTCACTAATTTATAAAATTTACAGATAATTATTCTCAGCGCATGGACACTAATTATTCATGTGCATAATCAATTTGAACATCAAAGTTGGTGTGTAGACTTACGAGGCCCACGAGAAGGCATTGTCTAAGGCCTTTAAGGATCCACCAACAAAGGGCTTTGGTGGGTTTGGGCCGCTTGCAATCCACCATCCTACCGGAATTCTTACCGCACTCAATCCATTGCTTGATATGAACTTGAAGTCATCTTCTACAATGAATGTCCTCCAATGTTCCTTCATTTATGTGCATATATAATTTTTTGTTTTTTTAAACAAAAAAAAGTGTTAAAAAAATATAGGTATGTTCTTGCTTTCATCAAAATTTATATCCCTATATCTTACTACTCCGTACTAAAATTAAACAATCATATAGTCATCCTAGTGGATTCTTTTTTTTTTGTTGAAAAATGCTTCATTTCTCTCAAAAAATGTGTCATATTTTGATTTTGCAGAGTTTAAAAGAAGTCTTAAAAGTTTTAAATAAGCGCTTGAAATTTGTGTTTAAGAAAGAAAAATATTGAGGGTGTTGATTCTTTTCGTTTAATCAAAAATAAAATAGTTCGTAAAAATTATTTTGGGATATAGAAAAAAAATGAAATGTTGTTTTAATTTTAGAAGGGCAATCCTAGAGATTTACAAAATTGAGATATTCATTTATATGCTAAGCATACAATGACACACAGACATTAGACACGTAGTGTTTGTGTGTGTCTATGTACGTTTGGTGTGCAAATAAGATACTTATATTGGTGTACTTTGAATTTAATTCTACTTTTATCTAAGAAGAGTGGAGTAAAATTGAGTGAAGAGTGGAGTAAAATTGAGTGAAGAGTTATTGTTCAATTTAATTCTTTCAAATCAAAATGAACAAACATTTAGTATACATCAAATAATAATTACTCCGGTACTCAATATTGCATGTTACTCCCTCCGTCCATGTATGATCTTCCCATTACGCGTTACGAGGCTTGACCGACTTTATTTTCAATTCAATTTAATTGATTATAGGAGTAAAATTTTAAAATAAAATTTATATAGTAATAAGCTACATGAAAAGTTCTACAAAACTAGAGTTGACAAAACTATATTATTTTATGAAATGACTAGTAAAATTGACCAAACAAAGTGAGTAAAGTTTGACCCTGTGAATAGTGTCTGAGAAGATCTATGGTGGACAGAAGGAGTATTATATAGAAGATTTCATTAGATTTATTTGGTACGTAAAGACCATGTAACTCGGCATATTAATATAAAGAGTGTAAAGATCGACTTCAACTTTCATACCTCTAAGATTTTTGGGGCAAGGAGAGGGCCATAGCCGTTAGTAAGTTGAAATTCCCCTTGTAACTTGACATTGTTTTCCATAATAAAAACGGAGGGATTGTCGTCACCCCAATCATCTTTCCCGTTGTAATCCGCCGTCACTTGCTCCGCTGTCTTCGCCTGAGCACGTGCATTATATTTTAGGATTACCTTTTTTTATGCTCGTTTATATTTTCAAATGACCCATGATAAACTTTTTTCATTTATTATAAATGTGACCCAATGGTCAACTTTTACGTGTGTGGCTATATATATACTCCCTCCGACCCATTTTATAACGCCTGTTCCGGTTTACGATGTTTGACTGAAGTTATTTTCAAATCATTTTATATGACAACTAGTATAGAATTAAAAAATAAAAATTACATATCAAAATACTACATCAAAAGATCTACAAAACTAGTAGTGACAACAATATTTTATTTTATCAATTTGCTAATGAAAATAGACAAAGAAAGTGAATGAAGTTTGACCATGTGAATGGTAAACAGACATTATAATTTAGGACGGAAGGAGTATAATCCAAATCACAAAGGCTATATTGATCGAACTTCTCTATAACTTTTTATTTCAATTATCAAGATTTCTGTGGTGACATTTTTTGGGTAACAATTTTCAATTAAAATTTTTATTAGTTATATACTTCATCTGGGCTCTGGCCTCTTAAAATCTTTCTCCTTTATTTTAACATCTACCCGCAGTATTTCAAAAAATGGTTCGCGTATCTATTAGAAAGTTATTTTTACACATTAATTCCTAACCTACATATCACATCATATGTATTCATTATTAATCTATTCATCAAATCATACTTTTACTCATCACTTCAAAGAACATTTTTGAAAACTTAATACCAAAATACATTCCCTTTAAATCATTTAAAAATCAAAACCTCTCATTTTTTTAGGGATGGAGATTTATCTAGATTTTAATTGTCAGGTCCCAAAATAGATTAAAAAATAGGTCGAAATCTACTCTCTCCGTTTCACAAAACTCTTTCATCATAATTTTGCGCACCCCATAAAACACATCTATCACACCTGAAATGTCTAAAATACACCTGATTACGTAGTTTATTATGGGTAGAACAGAGTTATTTTTGGAGCATTTTTATCATTTTGAGTAGATATTGAGAGACCTATGATTCATTTGCACTAATTGTCAATATAAAAGTCTAATTCATCATTATGTGATTTCTAAGGTGTTGACCTTGCATTTTTGACCTTTCACTTCAATGGAGGAAAGTCCGTGTTTAGTTATCATCCAATTTGATTCAAAATGATCCGATTATCTCGAAAATGCTGAAATATATCCCATCCATTAAATGTCAAATTCTTTATATGAACACACACCTGTAGGAAAAGTCCAGTAGATGCCCTAATACGAACACGATGTGGGTCACCGGTGTTCCTTAGAATTTGAAATGTATGTAATACATCAGTTGTATTTTGTACGGCCACCACGTTCGCCCCGCCATTGATTTCGTCTAATCCCACAAATTGGTCGTTGAACACCCTTAAAGAAAAGGTCGTCTCGTTTATCCTCCACAACTGTAATAATAAAAATCGTAGTGAGTACTCCCTATTAACTAAACAAATTGAATCATTAGATTGAATGAAGTGTTTTAGGGAATTGGAAAAAAAATAAAAGAGAAAGGGTTTTAAGAAACAGAGGGAGTATATGTGAGAGTAAGATAGGAAAGTGTTTGGGATACACTAAACGTACCCCAAATCAAAACTATGCACACACAGATATTTAATGTTTGTATACAGACATTAAATATCTGTGTAAGTGGGGTTCTCCTAACACTCTCGGGTACAAACAACAACAACAACCCAGTTGGATCCCACAACAGTAGGGTCTGGGGAGGGTGTGTGTACGCAGACCTTGCCCCTACTCGGAAGTAGGGAGGCTGTTTAACACTCTCGGGTAGAATACAAAAAAAATCATCATATATATGGCATGGCGGCTTAACTCTGAAAGTTTCCCAGGCAGAGGCGGCAGTTCTATTAGCAACCAACACGGATCCTCCGCCGGACTCCGCACTCACGTACTTTCCGGCCGTCACTGACTTCAGCCGGACTTGGGTTCCGTCCTGCATATATATACCACCCGCCGTATTATATTATGTTGATTACGGAGAATTAATTAGTCCGTATTATAATAATAATAATACAATATATATAATGGGTACATACGAGGAGATCGTTGTTGGGAATGGAGTGAAAGAGGGAAGGTTTGATCCATCCTTCAGTGACCAGCCACCCACCCAGGCTCACCGCCCTTATCTTCTCATCATCATGCTCCCATGATGATGATGATGATGATATGCAAAACACAATAATAATACTGATGATGGGGAGAAGAAGAAGAGGATGATTATTACTACTATTTGACGCCATTTTCATTTCATTGGGGGAGTGTGATCGAGAGAACTACGGAGTACTATATAGCAGAGGTTTCAGTATGTAGGGTGGTATGGTACGCAAATGATTGTAACAATTTGATTTTTTTTTGAATAAATTGTGGTACTATTTGACTACGAATTAAATCTAGTTTAAAATAATTAAATATTATACAGAACTATACTTTAAAATACTTAATTTTAATAAATTTACATTATAACTAAATATAAACACGCATGTATGGTAGTGGGCCTTTATTCCGAAATCCGGAGTAATTTGCATTATTAAAGTGGCTCGGCTAAAATCTTCAATGAAATTATTTCATTTTGGTTTTGTCGGACGAACATACCATGTTGACTATAAGGGACGACGACACTAGTTACACGCCCTTCTTTAAGTTGGAGAAAAAGATTAGAAATAAAGGAGAAATACCGTTATAGCACTAGAATATATTTAAAGTACCTAATATAACACTGATATGAGATATTAGAACTCGTGTGGATGTAATTTTAAATAGTTTTTAAAGTTCCTACTAATTTTTTTAGTTTCTTATAGTCCTCCGGTCTTAAAATTTTTTTGTTTTGACTTTTATTGGTTAAATATCAATACTTTTTGACTACGAATTAGATACTCCGTATAATCTAAATATACAAATTATATATAAAAATTTGATCTATCAAAATTAAATTATAAAAAAAATTCAATTATATTATAATTAAATATGTTTTTTCACAATTTAGAGTTGAAGAGCATTAATATCAAACTAAAAATATTAAAAGGAAATGTTATTAGAACATGAGTGAATAGCTTTTTATAGTTTCTTTTAATTTATTTTATTTTCAAGTTTTTCAAATTCAATTCAAATTTTAATTAAAGAATAAACTTATAAATCCTTATAAATATAAAAGGAGCCCACGGCACGACATTGCAGGTTTCTTTCAAATCCTTATAAATATATACTCCGTATTTCACATCAGTTATCTCCCACTCACACGTCTAACTTTTTCAACCTTTTTCTCTTCCTTCGCCATGAGAAACTTCTCTGCTTTCGGAGCGGCTTTTAGGGAGCGCCTGAATAAGATCCGGGCAGAGGTTAAAAACGAAGAGAGGAGGAAAGAAATGGCCGGGAAAACATGGGACAGGCTTTCTAAAGCCGCCCTGATTACCGGTGCTGCCGATCTGTTCGGCAACGTTGTCGGTAACATTTTCTCAGCGACAAAGAATGAAGTCCGTTCTACCCTCAGAAGCAGGGTCAAAATATGTGCACTCATCCATAAGCCAGATGTTGGAGACGTTGTTGCGCAGTGTTGAGACTGTGGATAATCGGACCAAAAAATGTTTTGCCAAAATAAAAGTCATGTCTACTGAGGTGAAAACCATAGATTTAAAGCTGAATAAGCTTCTGCATACAACTGGTGGCAGTCTTGCCGGAGAGAAGGCTCACGCGTCTCCAGCCGACAAATGAGTTGGACAAACGCTACGTGACAGGAGAAGTCACCTCGCACCGCCCAAGAACGTGAGACAACGTGTGCACTCTTTGTCTTGTCCCGTAGCGTCTACTATAAATAGCCTTGTAACCCTCAATAGAAGGGATCCAATTTCTTCTTACTAAAACTCCCGTGTAAAAACTCTTGTACACTCTACTATCTTCGAATATTAATTGGGCTACAGGTGTTTCCACCTACAATCCTACTGGTCAAGTTGTGTGTTTTATACTTTTACTTTCCCGAATCTAGTAAACAATCCTAGACCCGGTATAAAATTGTTTACCCGATTAGGATTGTTTACTAGATTCGGGAAAGTAAAAGTATAAAACACACAACTTGACTGGTAGGACTGTAGGTGGAAACACCTGTAGCCCAATTAATATTCGAAGATAGTAGAGTGCACAAGAGCTTTTACACGGGAGTTTTAGTGAGAAGAAATTGGATCTCTTCTATTGAGGGTTACAAGGCTATTTATAGTAAAGGCTACGGGACAAGACAAAGAGTGCACACATTGTCCCACGTTCTTGGGCGGTGCGAGGTGACTTCTCCTGTCACGTAGCGTTTGTCCAACTCATTTGTCGGCTAGAGACGCGTGAGCCTTCTCTCCGGCAAGACTGCCACCAGTTGTATGCAGAAACTTATTCAGCTTTAAATCTATAGTTTTCATCTCAACCGACATGACTTTTATTTCAGCAAAACATTTTTTGGTCCGATTATCCACAGTCTCAACACTGCGCAATAGCGTCTCCAGCATCTGGCTTGTGGATGGGTGAGGCACATATTTTGACCCTAGGCTTCTGAGGGTAGAACGTACTTCATTCTTTGTCGCTGAGAAAATGGTACCGGCAACGTTGCCGAACAGATCGGCAGCACCGGTAATCGGTAATCAGGGCGGCTTTAGATAGCCTGTCCCATGTTTTCCCGACCATTTCTTTCCTCCTCTCTTCATTTTTAACCTCTACCTGGATCTTATTAAGGCGCTCCCTAAAAACCGCTCCGAAAGCGGAGAAGTTTCTCATGGCGGAGGAAGAGAATAAGGTTGAAAAAGTTAGAGGTGGGAGTGAAGTAGGAGATGACTGATGTGAAATATGGAGTATATATTTATAAGAATTAACCTGCAATGTCGTGCCGTGGGCCCCTTTTATATTTATAAGGATTTATAAGTTTATTCTTTAATTAAAATTTGAATTAAATATGAAAAACTTGAAAATAAAAAAATTAAAAGAAACTATAAAAAATTATTCACTCATGTTCTAATAACATTTCCTTTCAATTTTTTTAGTCAAATATTAATGCTCTTCAACTCTAAATTGTGAAAAAACATATTTAATTATAATATAAATTTGATATAATTGAATTTATTTTATAATTTTATTTTGATAGATCAAATTTTTATATCATTTGCATATTTATATTATATCTAATTCCTAGTAAAAAAAAGTATTGATATTTAACCAATAAAAGTCAAAACAAAAAAAAATTAAGACTAGAGGGGTATAAGAAACTAAAGAAATTAGAAAAAACTACTAAGAACTTTTAAAAACTATTTACGTGTCTTTTTATTAATATTAACGGAAGGGTTGTTATGACAATGGAACTCCAACGATGCATCAAACCGAACACCCCTTCCCCACTAGCTTCAATTGCACCCCCTAATATTATTGCAATTGTTATTGTTATTAACATTATAACTACTATTCCTATGACTATTATTATTATTGCTATTACTATTACTATTACTATTACTATTATTAATATTACAGTTTCCTATGTACCAAAATGTAAGCAATCGTTACTTTTTCTGCTCCTCAATAATTTTTGTTTGTTTACTCATTCTCGTTGACTATTTGATCAAATAAAATATTATTGTCGCATCTTGTTTGCAAAACCTTTGCTCTTTTTTTGAACGATATAATTTTTTAGTTTTCATTTCTTTACTAATTTATAAATAAAATAAATTTAAAAAGAGATGATATTTTATACATCATTCGATATTTTTATATTCTTTCCGTCCACAAATTTCAACCAATTTCAAACATAACCATCTCGTCATAATTTCAATATTTTTATATTCTTTCTGTCCACAAATAAACTTTCCATTGCGCGTTACCATGTTTGACTGAAGTTATTTTCAAATCATTTTATATGAAATATGGTGTAAAATTTAAAAGTAAAAATTACATATTAAAAAATTATATCAAAAGATCTACAAAACTAGAGGTGACATGTCTATATTATTTTATCAAATAGGTGACGAAAATAGGCCAACAAAGTGAATAAAGTTTGAACCTGTAAATAGTGAACAAGAAGTTTGTTTGTGAACGGAGAGAGTATATTTTTATAAATTTTATATTTCTACTCACACTGAATCCAAACATTCCTGGTTCTGAACACCAAGAATATGTTCAATAATTGTTATCGGCCAACTTATAACGGTTCCGAGTCTTGGACTCCATCTCCAAACTTCTTCTCGTGTGGCTCTCAAGGTTTATTTAGCATTTCTGAACTTCATCCCGGAAACTCAATCTCATTACATGTCGGAGACGCAATCTCCGCATGACCAAGATACTAAGCTCGAAACGGAGTCTGTGAAGAAGAAAAAGGCTCCACTTCCAAACACACGAAGTTGGCGCCAACAAAAAGAATAAGTTTCGTTTGGTCGAATGAGGAAGAGAGTGTGTTGGCAGGTATTGGATTGATATGTCGCAGGATCCAATTCATGTACAAAAAACAAAAAAAGGGGTTGGAAATTTGCCTCGCACATGGCTCCCAAGGCATGATGGAAACCCTTGCCACACCACAATTTTGGAGGAGCGGGGCTGAGTTGGCAGGGCGAGACACTCCTCTTCCTCGCTGCTGATGATGCTCTAACGGGTCTGTTTACTTCTGTTTTTTACCCACTTTTTTTTCATTTCCTATTTCAAGCTTTTCATCCTTTGCTTTTTTCTAATTTGGAAAGCATACATTCCAACACAAATTTTATAATATCAATGACAACATTAACAGTAGTGGTAGGTAAAAATGGTGGTGCTCACCAATTGTGTAGTTCTTGATTATTATTGTGATAGGTAGTGGTAGTGGCTGACAAGTTCTATCGATGGTTACATAGTATAGTTATCACGGCGTCAAGGCGAGGCGTGGCGCCGTTGCACCGCCAGGATGCCTAGTAACCTAGGTGAGGCTTAGGTGAGCAGTTCTAAATGATTAAATATAGTAACAAAATGCAACTTTATAAAGTACTCTGTATATAATATTGTTATTCAATAGGTGCACCGTTCATACTCAACATACCTGTCCATTTGGAACTAAATAAAGAACAACACTTCTTATGTTGCCCCTCTTTAAGAAAACTAATTGTTGACACCCAGGCTTTAAAAAATTATTATTATTATTATTGTTGTTGTTTTTGTTGTTATTATTATTGTTATTATTGTTGTTATTATTGTTATTATTATTATTATTATTATTACTACTATTACACTCCAGTTCTTTTGACAACTATTGTTTTCAAAATATGACATGAGCACCTACAGTGCTCCAAGCGAAAAATTGATGGTTCTTACTCCCCTAACGTCCTAACCGCCGCAGCCCCCACCCCAAAAGCCCCTACCCCCATCCCAAAAATTCCGATTATTATTGTTGTTGTCATTGTTGTATATTTATGCCAAATAGTGAACATTTCTAACCATATCAAGGAATGAAAGGAACTTTTCCCCTAAGTTAAGTTATATCCAAGATTAAGTCAGGGAACCCAAGTAGTAGGTAGAATACTAAAAAATTAGGTTGCTCAGGTTGAAGAAAAAATTACCATTTCAAACCTCTGTTCAATTGATTTGTACAAGGCTTCATGACTATTGTCAGGCCCATACCAAATCCGCTCCCAAGTAGACATGAATCCATTGCTAGCAGCAGCTCACTGCATTAAAAAATTACCTATTCAAGGGATGAAACAGCACATAATGAACAAAACAGAACACATTTCATTTTCTTCTCCAAAAGATAGTGGAAGCACTAAATGAGAAAAAACATAATGTTCATCAGTTCCTACGCCCTGACTTTAGGAGGTATACTTTCAAGCTGTTTAATTGGAGTTTATCATCTAAGACAAATACTAATACTTTGCACTTCTTACCTTTTTTTGTAAAGCTGAAAATTTAACAGGAAAAGGAAGAAATGAAATACTACTCCCTTCATCCGACTATTTACATTTTTTACCAATATTTGCCTATATCTCTTCATCTCACTATATTTGTTTCTTGCCATATTTAGAAACATTTAAGTGACTCATACTCATTCTTACTTTTTTTTTTTAGGTTTTAGCTTCAATATCATAAACATAATTCAAAATTTCTAAAATGTGCACCGCATCCTCATGTCCCGAAAACAATAAAACAAAGGTACTAAAAAAACAATTAAACAAAAAGTTCCAACCCAAGTAACTCGTTATAACACCCCAACCCGCGTAACCCGAACCAACGGGTTTGCGAATCGGGTTGTCACTACGTTGGTATTCGCATGCACAATTTATTTAAAACCATTTTTTAATAATTAAAAAAAACACCACTCACAATAATTAAGTTTAACCCAAAAAGTTCATCGGAGTACAAAAATAAATCCAAACCTTGCGGAAGCTTAACAGCAACATAACATTCCAAAAGTCCAAATAATTAAATATTGAAATTCAAGGGTTCAGTAAACACTTAAGTCATCCACATCACGCCGCATCACTGCCTCCGGGTTGCTCATCTAGTCCTGGATTCCTACCTACGTGCAGTCAAACAACAACGACTACATGCTCAATGAAACGCTGAGTGAAAATATACCTAAGCCAGCATTAACTCACAGAATAGCACCACATTAACATACAATCAACAAGAACATGTGATCACGGAGGAAAATAGCTTAAATAAACATATTTATATTAACACCTTTCATTTGAACTTCATGTCCTTATTTTATTCCACATCAACTACTTTGAGTCATGGCACCCCAAGCGATGCTATAAAAGGGCCAGCTCAGAAACCCAAAGGAGATTCACTTTGGGCGGGTTGAAGCCCCTGTCCCTGCGATGCCAGGACAGGTCGCGAACTTCCGTACGTACGTTTTTAACCCAAGACCACCGGGTGTGCGACGACGCCCCGCAATAGCCAATTTCCTAACCATATGGTGATTCAATTAGTCAATCCAATTCAGGTCCGCCTAATTATACTAGGTGGCCTATTTCCCATATATTATTCATAATCTCCCATTTTCATCAATAAGATCAATTTAACTTAAATCTCAGTTTACAATTCACAACAAATCACGTAACGGCCTATCCGGGCCAAAGACCCACGATTACGCATAACCAAACAAACCAAAATTACAATTAACCCAACTCACCTGCGCAGAATCGAGCCAAGGAATCGATCCTCAGACCCGCTGCCCCCGCCGGAGCAGTCCCCAACGTCGCCGGACCAACCCGGCACCCCTGCCGGTAGCAGACCCGGCTGCCCGAGCCCAAAGCCTGACCAAACAGCCCTGTTGGGTGATTCACAGCAACCCGGACAGCCCATCAATTAGCCCAAACAGTCCAAACAGATCCAATTGCACCCAATTGAATCCGAATAGTCAAATTGAACCCGATTGAACCCGTTTGGACCCAATTGGTGCCAAAACGAACCCAATTGGTCCAAATAGAGCTGCTGTCCTGTCCCGGTCAAGCTTGCCGCCGACGTTGCCGGCGGGTCGCCGGAGAAGACGCCGGAAAACAGCCCCCAAACCCCAATTTCATGAATTCAACACAAACATCCACAATACTCAGTCAATCGCAAGATTATACGCTAAGGTAGTTCTAATCTACGAATTAACGCTAACGAAAGGTATAGAAACCACGAATCACCTCAAAATTGACGAAATTGAAGGCTAGGGTTGAGGGAAGAATCACGGCTGCAAATTTGGTTCCCGCAGGTTTGGTGCACGCGATGAAGGAGGCGGCGACGACCGGCGATAGGTACGACGGCGTCTGTGCTCTGTGATGGCAGCGGCGTCTCTGCTGGGTGATGGCAGCGGCGTCTCTGCTCGGCGATGGCAGCGGCGTCTCTGCTCGGTGATGCACGGACGGAACGGCAACGGAGAGAGAGAGACGGCGGCGACTGGCAGCGTCGGCTCCCTGGTCTGCGTCTCCGGTCGGTGTCTCTTGCCGACGGTACAACGACGGAATACGGCAGGCAGAGGTGGGAGAGGGTCGTGCGTTACAAAAATGGAGTTCCGTGACCTCCCTAGGCGTTTATTATATAAGGAGTAATTAAATATATTTAGGGTCCACTTTACATTATTTAACCAATTAAGATAATTTAACCCCAATTACATCATTCGTCCATCGTCAATCGTATCTTGGGCCCAATAGGTCTAATTCATGATCCGTTTACGCAATCGGGTTCAGAACAGCGAGCTCTACAACCTAAGATAAATCCCCCCATTAATTAAGGCAAGTTTGAAAATAACCCTCTTGTTGACCGGCCCAATAATTAATTAATTTTATAAATTAAATAAAATATTAAGCCGGGTACAAATTAAAATATAAAAAGTATAAAAAGTATATCACAAAAGTATATCACATACTATTTAAAAATATAAATAGTATTTATTGACAAACAAAAAGAGAGTAACACTTTATATCACATGCTACAAATTAAAATATAAAAAGTATTTATTGACAAACAAAAAGAACACAAATACTCCGTAACACTTTAACCGAAAGGTAAAAAGCATTTTTTTTATTTCAACACCGTATTTATTTCTATAATAACAGAAGCTGTCAACATGTTCCTTTGTCAAACATTACAAAATTTATAAATAAAAAATAAAAAAAATACAAGATTTCTGTATTCTGTATCCACATTAGTTTTAGATTTAGTGCCCCCAAATTTTTACAGTTTTTTACCCACCCAAAAATATGCTCCCCAATTTTCAAACAAACAAATAAATAAACATTAGGCTTCAGCACATTTTGTTGGTGCAAAACCAAGCCTGGACTTCTTAGTGTCATACATTATGTGAAAATTCTGTTGCTGATAATTCCCAATGATAGACAAACCGGAGCGAGGAGTCCCAAGAATGGCCAAGCAAACAATCTCTTCCGGTTCGATCCGGATGAAGTAATTCTCGACCGGAAAATTCCAAACCGCCCCGTCCGCGAACACGATGCCGAACGACGGCAAATCGATCACCCCGGACCCCGACACGTTGTAACACGGTTCGAGTATCGGGAAATCGTTGACGACCGGGTACCGGTTTCCCGCCTTCTTAATGAAGGCATTCTTGATGATGTCATACGCGGGGTCCGCAAAGTAGCTCAGAGTAGTTCCAGAGTCAATGATGGTCCCTCCTGCCCCTTCGGGCGAGAGGTCCCACGTCTCCTCCGGGACCCGGACCGCTTCCCCGCCCACCAGGACGGACTTGATCTTCAAATAGTAGAATGTCTCGACTGGGTTTTCGTCCCGGTTGACCAATGAGGTGAAGTTCAATTGTGGGTGACTCAATATTGACTTGTCCTCCCCAAATATTAACTTGCTACTAATGCTTGAGTTGCTATTCCTATCAACCAAACAATATGAGAAAGAGTGGCCATAGAGGGATTGGAGCTGGGAGGCGAATGAAAGCGGTCCCCTCCCTAGCCCCAACAACCCTGCGGCCCCATGGAACAGTCCCCTGTTCCAATGGCCGCATCCGAACGAGACGTTCTCCACCCTCTTGACCTTGGGCGTTCCGGCCCGGGTCGTGAGGTTGACGGTGAACGTCTCGAGCGCGAAATCGCCGGTCGTGTTTGAACTGTCGCCGTACCAATAGTAGTAAGGGCACGTTTGGGAGGCGGAATCGCAGGGGATCGGAGGGTCGGGGGACGAAACGAGGTGGCATTTAGGGTCATTGCAGCTTATGTTCCTGTAGGATTTGGAGTCCTTTGGGTCATAGTAAGGACCCTTTTGCTCAAAGCAATCCAAACAAGGGACACATTGGATCCAATTAAGGTCACTTCCAGTGTCAAGAATCAGAGAGAAGTGTTTGGGAGGTGTGCCCACAAACACATCCATGAAGTACTCCCCTGACCCTAGACTCACCCCGGAGCCTATAGTGGCCATCAACTGGCCGGAGTTCAAAGATCCCGGCGAGAATTCAGCCGTCCGGTCACCGGAAGGACTGGGATTCTTGATTCTTGAAACTGTGTTCTGGTTCTTCTTCTCTGCTATCCTCGTGTGTAATGTCTGGATTCTTGAAAAGTCCCTCGTGGTTGACTCAAAGACCGAATTTTTTTTCCCCGTCGGTTCCTGGCCGTCCGATCTGTGCCGGAGATGGAACTTCACCGGCTCCGAATCGCCGTCTCCGACGGAGCCAAGCTCCGGAGAGTGAAGGGAATGGGTGGTTGACTTTCTGGGCGTCACAAAGCTGCAACCTGAGTTTGAAGACGAAGAAACAGCATTGAAACTTGGGTGCTGGGGCATTTCAATCCCAGATGAAGAAGAGTTCGAGTTCAGATTCATGAAATTTTGGGTCAATCCCCCAGAAACCAAAAACCCAGAAGAAATCAGCAAGAGAGAAATCAAAATGAAGCAAAAACCACATCTTTTCGCCATGACCGGAAGGAGGAAAACAGAAATTAGACCAGATTTCTTGAACGGAAGAGCAATGAATTGAAAACCCAGAAGTGTAAAAATGGGATCTTTATTAAACGTGAAGAGATTTTAAGGATTGAGAGGCTACGGGGGATTTGGGGAATTCACTGAAGAATTTGAGGAAGTTTGAACAATGACTTTGAATGGTTTATCATGTGGTCAGTTTAATACTACGCGCTTTTCTATTTTCTTCGCTGTATCGAGTACTGTACGTAATTTCCCTACACTGCGGGTTAGAAAACCTTTTTGTCCACCATCTCATTTTTTTTAATATTTTTATTAAAAAAACAAATATTTATTTAAGTAATAAAAAAATGTTTATTTTACTCATATGTAGTTCATGGTGGAACTTAAGTCCACAATAGAATTTGCCAAAAATCTAAAGCCACACCATTTTTATTATTCTCTCTACTCCTAACTTCATAAGTTGGTTTCAATTGTAAATAAGCAGTTTTTGATTTATAAGTCAGTTGATTTGATGATATTTTTTCTGTATTTATAAGCTAATTATAAGCCACGAAAAAATAAGTATGTATTATCTACTTATTTTTAAGATAGTTTTTTCGTTTCTCTATTTTGTTCAAATTATTTACAAACTTAACCCCACAATTTATGAATATTTTCAAACAAATTATCTATCGTTTAAGTCAGTTTACTTTCATAAATAAATATTTGTTTTATAAGTAGTTTATACGCTAAAAACTACTTATCCGATAAACATTCTTACGATTTTCTTAAGCATTTTGGATTAAATTTTAAATGATATTGGTTATATTTAAAAATACCAAAGCTCAACATTATCATTAAATACTTTTTTTTCAAAACGTTAAACATCGAAGACATTATGAGACGAGCCTTGTATATGACTTTTGACACCCCGGTATCACATATTCACAGAGATACACACAAATAATTTTGCTCTGTCTTTTTCATTCCTTGTGAAAACAGTAGTGTGTCCCTAATATTACTAAAATTAAATTGGCCTTTTTCATGAATCGTGTTAGGACATTTTAACAAAATATTTAGTGACAATGATATTGTTTTGTGTTTGTGAAAGACTGTGAACAAATCTAATTAAATAAAATTAAAATATTGAAGTTACATATCATAATAAGTCATCTTATGTTGTTGGCATGGTAAAATAGTCACGATTTGTATTTTTGTCATTTTATAGTTTTTTGAAATTATACGGAATATTTTATTACTCCGTATATAAGATAAAAGATATTCTATTTTGAAATATTAAACGTATTTAATTCAAATTAGATACGGTAAAAAAAGGGTAATGTGAAAATTGGGATCACATTTGGGGTGGTAAAGCTTAACTCTTTTTTAAAACTCTCTTCTCGTTTCAAAATAAAAAAACACCCTCCGTATTACTATTTTGATTTCCAGATAAATTTTGTTTATTTATATATTTTTATTTATCATTTGATAAAATAGAATATTTTTCACTTTTTTTAGATTTTTTGAATTAATTTTTTAATATATAAATTACATTTTCATTACTATAACAATTTCTAAAAAAATAGTTTAAAAGACATCAAATTTTGCACATACTTAAGAGAATAATCAAGTAATCAACTATAGGAGGAATGGGTAGAATAATTCTCGGGGGAATGTGTCACTTTCATATCCAACCTGAGAAGTTTCAACGTTTTGGTTAACCAAACAACCGTAATAACAATAATAAAAGAAATTGATCGTCGCGAAATAATATGGTTTAGCTGTAAATAGCCGGCCGTGGGAGCCCAACACCCATTTTCAAAAGAGGTTCATAAAAATTTTTCGGTTATAGTACCACTAGTATATTCTTATAGAAATTTAGATTCTACTTCGTATGATGCACGTCAAAAATATTATCTAAACATAATAAATTTATGATTATGAATAAGATGATAAGTCTCTAAATTTTAAATTTATATAAATAGTACTTCATATAATGTATATATTCCATCCGTCTCCATTTTGATTACAATTTTATTTTCTATTTCTTCTCGATAACTTTTGTTTGTTTGTGTATTTTCATTAATTATTTGATAAAGTAAAATATTCTTATCACCTCTTGTTTTGCAGAACTTTTGATGTAGTTTTTTAACATGTTATTTTTATTTCTTATTTATGTACTAATTTCTAAATAAAATAATTTCAAAAATCGTGAGATTTTACCTTGTAACCAAAATAGATACGTAGGGAGCAACAGATTAGCCCAAAGTAGTTGCCCAAGACCCATTTTCAAAAAAGGTTCATAAGCTGGTGGGCGTTGCGCAGTTCGCAAGTGGTGCCAAGGGGTAAGACCCGAGTTCAATTCTTAGCAACTATGCTGGGATGCAACTATGCTAAGCATAAGGGCTCTGTAAGTAACAGATGCAGACTCCATTTTTCACACAATTTAATTTCAAATAGTGTCATAATTTAATTAAAAAAAGTCAAAACAAGAAAATCTTTGTCCATCTTGCATTTATTCCGTATTAAATAACAAATGATTAAAGTGACTTCTTCTACCCGGCCAATATATTCACACAACAATATGATGCGTATGTAATTCATTCACACACCTAATAATAATAAAGGAGTTGCATTGTGTGCGTGTATGTGATTTTCCCAATTTGGCTAACTCCTTCTGTTTTTGGTTCTTTTATATTTCCACAATCCAATGCAAACCATTTGATCTTAGATCAATTTCGACCTACACGACCTCAGGGGAAATTTTAACTAGAAGTAAATATGTTCAATACCCTAATATTCTCTCTTTTAGTCTTTTTTATCATCTTTTCGGAAAAGTTTTAGAATTTAGATTGTTAATCACGACCGGCAATTAGCTCTACTAATTAAGAAGCGTACTGAATCAAGACTTAACCCTATCCATTTCACCGCAAGTTATATTGTACATTCGGATGTATACAAAGATGACTGCGACGGCAGCTGAAACGGGCCAAACAAGGAAGGACAACAGAGGAGACGCGGCAAAGGAAGAAGAAGAAGAGCAACGTGGGTGGAAGATGATCAACGGGAATAGAATTATGGTAGGAATTGGAGAGTTAGATCTTTGTATTCACGAGTCAATTCGATATACAAAAATATTTTCTCTCATTATTATTTTTTACATTAACTAATTTTTAAAATGCTAATGTTAAAAGGAGAATTTATGTAAATAGCACTAAAATATAATGACTTTTTCTAAATAGCATAACATGTATTTTTTCCCAACGTAGCACTTTTAGATGTTCGCCATCACTGGACATTATAAATATTATTAAGTGCTATTTAAGGAATAAATTAAAACAGTTTAAGTGCTATTCAGAAAAATGACTTAAGTGTTAGCACTATTTAATCCAAATATTTCATATTAAAAATCACAATGTTATTAAAATGCTAACGCTAAATTATAACGTTATTCTCAAACGGGACCTTAAATAGTCCAAACAAAAGTATAAATTCACGGATAACGTTTTCCACATTCAAAATGTAGATTGTAGAGTAAATTTTCAAGCAGCCATTTATGGAACAATTTTGAAGTAATATGCCGCCACTCTTACTATATATGCGACTATACGTACACCAAGGAATTGAATATTAGCACAAAGTCTCAACATATAAATGATTCCAAAATATTTAAGAGATGAAAATTTGTCAAAAGATAAAAAGTATTGAATAGTTCAAATGTGACTCTTCGGGCCTGTTCTGTAGGACTGGAAAAAAGAGCTTGATGTTGGAAGAAACTGGAAAAAATTGAAAAGAACTGGAAGAAACTGGAAAAAATTGGAAAGAACTGGAAGAACTAGAAGAAACTGGAAGGAACTGGAAGGAACTGGAAGAAACTTGAAGAAACTGGAAGAAACTAGAAGGAACTGGAAGAAACTGGAAGGACTTGGAAGAAACTCGAAAAACTTCAAAAAATTGGAAAACATAAAAAAACTTTAAAAACATTTATTTTAAATTCTTGTTCTTATAAATTATTATTACTATTATTATTATTATTATTATTATTATTATTACTATTATCATTATTATTATTATACAAAAAAGTATTATTATTTTTTAAATACAAAAAACTACTTTTGCAAAAAAATTATTATAATATAAAGTTAGCATAAATATAAAAATATTAAATTTTAAAAAATGTTTGTGGTTATATTGCACCTCAATTTATTTATGTAGTATTTATTATAAATTATATATTTGTAATTATACTTTATATATTACAAGATTTTGTTTTAAATATCAGACATGTCACATAATGCAATCAAACCTATTTTTTCTTTCATGATTGACATTTTATTTTCATTGAAGTTCTATTTTTGGAATAAAGACATAGAACATTTTTTTTTACATTTTTTATGTTTTACTCCTATTTTAGTCTTTTTCTCTAAACTATTTTGACTTACAATTTTTTTTATAAAAATTAGAAAAATGAGCAAATTTTAAGTAATAAAGGGAAATGTGAGAGATCTTATATACAGTTAGATTAATAAAACATTCAATTTCACTATTTTCTCCATATTTTTGTTAATATAATTTAACATATTGATGTTTTCCTGTTTTATCATGTACTACACAATATATAAAAAAATTTCTTATTCATATTAAAAAGTTGAAGAAAAAAATAATGAATGTAAATCGTAAAAATAGTGAGACGAAAAAAATAATTTATAAACTATAGTTATGGACATAACAAGTGTAATAATAATAATAATAATAATAATAATAATAATAATAATAATAATAATAATAATAATCACATTAAAATATATATTTGATGGATACCCGGGAATGGGGGTACCCAGCCCAACAGGAAGATGGCCCAGCCCAATTACGCCAAGGCCCACTTGGCAAAACCAAGATGAAGGAACATCAAAGATCGCCTCGGCAAATGTCATGTGATCGGCCTCAGCAGTCTCGGTTACCTTCGGACCGACCCGGCCGGTCTCCCGTCCGGAGAACTTCCGGATATATGTCATATACTCGGCCTCGGCCATGAACAGCGACAGACCAGACACAGACAAGGGAGCTGGCGTGGTCAAGATCAAGGGGCCCACGATTAGACTCCTGTCATGCCTCTGACAGAGTTGCTATAGCCACCATACTTGTAACCTACTTTGTGTAGCAGTCTTAGGGTTAATCATGCGGTTGGACGCCGCCAGAGAACAACCCAATCTTAGTGGGCCCGG